TTGACCAGTGGCCTTCCAAAACCCTGCCTGTATTTAAATACAGTCACCCTCTAACCTGTTTTCCTTTCAAGATAAGCAACCCAATTCCTTTCACCTCACTTCGGAGGAGCCTTTCTCCTGCCCCTTTCGCCGTGCCTGTTGCTGAGCTCAGGCCCTCACCGGTTTGCTCCATGTCATTTTGTCAATACCAGAACCAAGGCAGGACACAGAAGTCTGCTAATGGCCTCCTGCCGGAAGGAAACAAGGGCTCTCCTGCCCTTCCTATGTCACTGTTTTAACTTCCCCGGACAGTCCCTTTCTGCATGAATGCCTGGCTGATCATTGGCGCACCTGTGATCTCTACCCCTTTGCTTCTATCTGCGTCCCTGCCTTGCCACCCAATGTGTGTGCCTTTTATTTGGGGGGCATAAGTGCTCCACTTTGCAAGGATCTGCTCTGGGCATATTTCCATCTGTTTATGTAGGAATCTTCCCAAGACAGTTTAGGGAAAGACTTGCTCTACTTGAGAGCCTCTGTCAAAATGGCACCCCTGCAGCCCTGAGCTCTGCCCACAGCGGCCAGCAGCTTCGTTATTTCTCAGTTACCTATCAGTGTGCATCTTCAAAGTACTTCGTAAACTGCAGAGTCACTTCCTCAAACGCCCCCCCCCCCAAAAAAAAAGGTTGGAAAGAAAAACAAAAGCAGAGAGTGGGTATGTAGGTTTTCTAGGGCCCTACATCAACACAGTGGTCACTGTAGCTATGATCAGGTATCAAATATATCTCTTTGCACATGACAGCATATTACAGGTCTGGCTAGACAATGGCATCACTTCTGCAATAAAATACAGCAAAAATTAATATTCCAAAATAGCATTAGCGCAAAATACCATAAATTAACTGCAATTGATTCCGAAGAACTGTTGATTTACAAAATAATCTTTTTTTTTCAACCTACGTGAATTGGAAAATTGTTTATGCAGATGCAGTTATCATTTGCCCTGAGTTAATACATTCAGATTTGGCATGCTATTGGGTGGAAAATATTTATGTAAGATTTTTATTGACCATAATAAGTTAAATGGCAGCGGTAGAGCAGAGCTTATTGTATTATACTTGGCTCCTCCCTTCTTTCCCGGAGATGGGGGAAGGTACAGAGTCTTCTAACAGCTGCAAGAAGTGCCTTCAGTGTGAAAGAAAACTAAATCTTTTCTAAGCAGTTGGAACCATAAAATTCCTTAAACTAAGCTGAAGGCTTTTGAGGGAACCCTGCACACAGTGGAAAAAATAGGATGTCAAAGGGTGTCCACCGTGCCTCTCACATAGTCAGTAGATGATAACAACTAATTGACTTGATCACAACTAATGCACAGGGAAGATACAAACAATAGCAGTTAAGCCAGGATGTGTTGGGAAACCAAATGCAAACCTGGAATCGGACAGAAATCAAACTGGATGATTCTCTCCCCAGAACCTACTTTCCTTCCTTTGCTTTGCGGGCTCACAGCCCAAGGTTTAACCTGGGAGATTGTAAACTCCAGTTTCATTCCTCATCCTTAATTTAGCTAGACAGAGCTTTGAAATGGCAACTAAATTACCTTTCGGTGAAATCAAATCTTCCCTTCTAGCCTCAAGCAGAGAGGAGTCTAGACCACATGGCTGGCTAATGCGCCCAGCAGCTGCTAGCACTCTCCTGGAGCCCAGAGAGGGTGCCCGCCATGAAAGGGTTACTCACGTCCTTTGTCCCCTGCAGTTTCTGCTGTGTGTGTGTGTGTGTGTGTGTGTGTGTGTGTTGGGGGGAGGAGGGGGTTACTCCACATACAGTCTTTTCTCTTTGGACTGCCTGCCTAGCAGGAGGTTGCTTAGAGCAGTAAAATGTTTATTACCTGTTTATTGTGTGAGTAACTGCAGTCTAGGAGGAGAAAATATTTCCCAGTTTACCTAGGGCAATGAAAATAGGATTAAGAGTTCTGAGGGCTGAGGAAGGAGCAGTATAAAACCCAGAGAATCACCGACCATGCAGTCCTGAGAAGCCCCAGTTCCCCTGCGTTATCCTTTTATTCTAGTCATGGTGACTTTGCCTCTTATGCTCAGACCCGTGTAATTCGCCATTATGGACTGGCTGGTATTTTAAAAGTTTAAGTCGTCCCCAAAAGAGAGTTTGGCTCTCATCCCAGGTGGAGCTCTCCAACTGGACCCAAAGACAGGTCACCAACCTGATTAACGTTTACACACCCATTTACTTCTCTTCCCTCCAAAGGAAGTTGCAAACAGCTTAATTTCCACCAATTTTTCAGTGTGAGGATTCAATAAAATATCATTTAATAGTTCAGGCCATCCTACAACTGCCATTTGCATTGAATTCAGTTATCATGGTTTAGATCAGTGATGCCGAACCTATGACACGCAAACTCATTTTTTTTTGGTTGATTTTTCTTTGTTAAATGGCATTTAAATATATAAAATAAATATCAAAAATATACATCTTTGTTTTACTATGGTTGCAAATATCAAAAAATTTCTATATGTGACACGGCACCAGAGTTAAGTTAGGGTTTTTCAAAATGCTGGCACGCCGAGCTCAAAAGGTTCGCCATCACTGGTTTAGATCATTTATGTCTATGATTTAAAAAGTTACTACCATAAATCTGCAATTAGTCCTTAAACATAAATTCTTCCTGCTGTCCTCCTCTCCATTTTTTTTTTCTTTCTTAGAGGTCTTTCCATCTCGATTATTAATAGAGCAACACAAAATTTAAAATTTTGTTCATCCCTCACAAAAGTATACTTAGCCATCTCTGAATCAAAAATACTGGGTCCGGTTGGGGGTTAATAGGGGGGATGAGGACACATTTGTAATACCTTAACTAATAATAAAAAAAATTAAAAAAAAAAAATACTGGGTCCCCTAAAATACTGTCAACTCTTAGGGCTGCAGAATTGAGCCCTAATTACTTTTAGTGTCTTCTGGTATCTCTTCCTTTCTTCCTTTCTTTCTTTCTTTCTCTCCTTTCTTCATCCTTTTGACAACTATGGATGTTATAACAAACATCTGTTTGAACTCCTACTATGTACCAACCACAGTGCTAGGCTGGCCAGGGATGGCTTGCTTCCCACCCTAACCTTTTGTTTTAGATTACAAAACTTGAAAACGGTTTCAGAAGTAAAGTGCACAGTAAGGAACAGTCCATAAATGTGACTCCACAGTGGTCCTGTTGTTTGTAATGTTTCGTCAAATGGACCATCTTTGCTGGGGCATCTTCTCAAAGTACCTGTTTCAGGTCTGAGGCCCAGAGCTGTCCAGCTGAAGTAGACGATGGGTAGTCACTTTATCAATGTGACCCGTGTAAATGGTCTTAGCAGAGACTCCAGGCTCCACAAATTCACTCCCCACTTTATCTGGACTGTTGGTGTGAGTAATTTGGGGAAATTTCAGGATCTACTGTTCTTTTGTTTTGCACAGGCCCATCTTCTGTTCCTATGATCGCTGAGCCTTTGGTGATATGCTAACTGCTGCCCCACCCACTCCACCATCTGTCTTGGCATTATTTTTCTGTAGCAGCCATGATCCGTACAGACAGGCTTCTTAGCCAGTGAAGAGTAAACTCGGGGGGGCTGTGGAGAACAGCTGAACCAGCCAGCACAGTCAGGCATCGACCCTCTTGAGAACTGTGACTACTCCCCGGTCCTTGAGGGGTGTGCTTTGCAGTGGAAGAACCTGAAGCATTGGGAGGAATTTTAAGTTCTGTGGTCTGATGCACACTAAGCTGATGGGTGAAAAGTCTCAACACTCATTTCAGTGCCATCAGATGTCACAATGCGTGGGCTGTGGAGACCACTGTGAAGATGACAGACCCCTTTGCCTCTTATATGTTTGTCCTCATGAGCACAGCGTTGGCCAGTAAGTTTCAGAGCTGGAATTAAGGCTAAGAACCCCTGAGGACGCTGTTGGCTTCATCCTTAGCTTCTGAATTTCAGTTGTATAGACTGGTCTTCTTGTTTCTTTTACGAACTACCAGTAAGACGACCATGGTAGATCTCCCTCTAACAGGGAAGAAAAGGCCTTTGCTATCTGACATTTTATTTTTATATTTAGTCTTAAAGTGGCTGCACAGCGGGACCATTAGGAAGGACACTGTAAAAAGGGTCCCTTTGTGTTGTGAAAGCTCTGTCTATACAGGACCATCCGCCCATAAGATGAGGTCAGTCTCTAAGAAGTGCCATGAAAAATGGCTTCGGTTCTTGGACCCATCACAGCACACAGTCGGTCTGTACAATGGCCGCCCAAAACCAACCCCCACATAGAGCTGCTGCATAGAGGAGGTGCTGTGGCCCCTCTGTTAGCTAGATAGGCTGCCGAATCCATCGCTGTCATTTTATAACCGAAGCTGTAACTTTGGGTGAAGACTTCATGAATGGAGAAAAGTTGGAAAAGATTCAGAGAACTCTCTAGAACAGTGGTTCTCAACCTTCCTAATGCCGCAACCCTTTAATACAGTTCCTCATGTTGTGGTGACCCCAACCATAAAATTATTTTCGTTGCTACTTCATAACTGCAATTTTGCTACTGTTATGGATCGTAATGTAAATATCTGATATGCAGGATGTATTTTCATTGTTACAAATTGAACATAATTAAAGCATAGTGATTAATCACAAAAACAACATGTAATTATATATGTGTTTTCCGATGGTCTTAGGCGACCTCTGTGAAAGGGTCGTTAGACCCCCAAAGGGTTGCGACCCACAGGTTGAGAACCGCTGCTCTAGAAGGAAGGTGTGGTGTGGGTCCTTCATGGGGGGTCTTTGCATGAGGCATTCTTGCCACCCGATCCCCTGGAGAACTTTCAGAAACATACTGCCCCCTGCACTCACTAGTCCCTGCACAACCTCTGGGCAGCTTTCCCAACCAGCTTTCCCTCCCTAGTCCTGTCCACTCGCCTTTTTGACTGGCTGATTCTGATTTACAAATAGACGCCGCAGCCATATCCTTCCAGAGAAACTTTCTCTTATGCCACTTACTTTATTCTGTGGCAGTTTGTGGCAGAAGATGATGAGGGTCTTTGGAGTTCACCTCTGTGTTGAGGCTGTCAAGCTAATCCGAAAAAGAGGCCAGCAGCTGGCGGTTTCATTCTAGGGAAGAATCCAGAAAAGGAGGGTCGGATGTTTTATTTTTAGGAACAAAGAGCAACTTTTCAACTGAGTGCCTGCCTGGGCCTCTGACATCAGGATCCTATTCTATTTTGCTTCAACCCACCCCCCTCCAAGCTCTGGCCCCCTCCCTAATTCCACTCCTGAGGAGCCCGGGAGGAGCTGTTCGCAGGGACACAAACAGAATAGTCCTTTTGAAAGAAAAAGTTTAAGTATTAAAGTGGGACGTTTCTCTTCCTTCCCCACTCTTTTCCCATCCATGGGAATGACTGTTGGGCTTCCACCCTTAGCCCATTTAAGGCAGAAGTGTCTGGGGGCGGGGAGGCTGGAACAAGAGCACCTGAACATTTATGCATTCTGTTGTGCCCTGAAGAAACAGCTGGGTGTGGCCGGCTACCTGGGGTGCCAAACCTTACTCTGTAATGGTTTATGGTTGTTTATTTAAGGAACCACAAGTTTTTTAAGACATTCCCCTCACTGCCACTATCTTGGCACCTGCTGCTTAAAAAAAAAAAAATCATGCATGAAGCAAGTTGACCTCCATGTGCCTTACAAAACAACCTGTGATAATCTTTTTATGGGATAATAGGACACATGATGGACCAGGGGGAAATACACAACACCTTGCCCTTGTTCAGCACATAATAAGTGCTCAATAAAATGTAATTCTTTGTTGATTGAAAAGATTAGTCTTCTAACTAAGGGCTTTCCAAATAAGTTTTTAAAAAGCTAGGATAGGATTTAAAATTTTTAAGCATCTCACTCCCTTTGCCACTTACAGTATGCGCCAAAAAAAATACCTGGATGTGAAGGAGGCCACCTTTAAAATATTTTAGAGCTGAGACTATAATTATTACGTGGAAACACTTTAAGCCTTTGCGGCATTTCTTTAACTTTGCACTTTCAAGCCCAGGAAGGCCAAAATCAGGGTAACTGGATGCCATTTTACAAAATGTTAAAACTCCAATTACACTTCCTTTCCTTTTTTGTTTTAAAGACTATTTAGCAGCATTATAGACCATGCGGGAGAGGCGAGGGAAGCATTCACAATCCCACATCCTAACAAAACAAGTGATTTCCCTTTTTAATATTCCCTTCCAGATTTCGACAATATGCTTGCATATTTTTTTATGTGCATCACAGTTACCGCCATGGTGAACACATAATATTTTATCAGATTTAGATGTAATATGTAAGACAGATGAGAGGGAGAAGAAAACCAAAGGAAATAAATAAGAACCACCTCAATTAAATGACGGCCAAGCAGCAGCTCTCAGCGGAGCTGCCTGGGAGAAGGAAGGTGTCCCGCGTCCTCCCAGCCAGAACTAAGCAGCCTGGGACCCGGCCCACGGCAGGCGCTGCGATGACCCAGCAACCGTTCATATCAAGGCTGGGCCCGCATCTGCCTGGGTCCCTGCTTCCCAATCATCCCGGGCCCAACTCTGCTTGGTGAGCCGCCCGGAGGAGGAGCTACCGGAGAGAGAGTCTAGCCAGGGATGACAGCGATGAGCCAAGTTGAGATGGAAAGCAAGCCGGCTTCCTATAGCCCCCGCTGCTCTGGACTGGGGTGTGAGCACTGCTCTTACCTGCTTGGGGTGGCGCCATCCCATCAAAGAGCACCCAGGCCAGCGGTCTGCATGCACAGCACTGGACACAGGAGAGGTTGCTGTCCTTCCCCGGCCGCCGGCACAATGCCCAGGAACAGAGCCAGGGCTTTGTCAGGCTTCCGGCTTCACAGAGTCACAGGCTGCTTTTGCGTGCTTTATTAGCTCCTTCCGTCTCCACAACAACCTCAGCAGGTCGTCAGGCCGGGTTTGCTAGCGTCACATCACACGAAAGGGAAACTGAGACTTGGAGAGCTGGGGCAGCGCCCCAGGCCGCAGAATGCCGGTGACCTTGTTCTCGGATCCCAGGGCCATTCTAGAAAGGACTGCACTGTCCGGTGGCACGCGATCGCACACACTGGCCCTTGTCCGTGCTCAGGCAAGCAGCTTTGCCAGGCCGGTGCCACTCGGAAAAGGGGACCTTTCCCGCCGGGCATTAGTGAGCAGGGCGTGGGGTGGCTGGTAAGGGAGTCCGGCAGAATGATGTTTAAAAATAAATGGCCCCTGACCAAGTGGGGGAAGGTTTGCTTGTCAGCAGGGTTGCTCATCAGGACCACAGATCGAGGTATGCACCATCTTTTGACGCTACCATTTCTGGCTCATGTTATTAAAAAATAATACATTGATGACCGCTACCTCGATGGACTCGGCATAGGGAAGCTATTTATTTTTGAAAAGTGGCAAAGGCAGGAAATTACTTCCTTCACTTTGGCATGGTTTCTGACACACTTTGGGAATCTCTCCCTCCTCCCCCGTTCCTTTGTAGGTTTAGAGGAGGAGTCTACGGATTCAGTATTATTTTAGCATCAGCAACGCTTCCACTTGGGCTATTTTTAGCGTGTCAGGTGCCCGCTGCCTGCCATGAACTTGGTACACGCAAGTGTTTCATTCAGCGGCCTCTCCCGTTTGAAGGGGAGCCTGTTCCAGCCTCTGACCACCATAGCTCCGCTTTTGCAGCTGCTCGTAAATTTCTGAACCTGCAGAGATATCTTTAGCTGTGACTTGAGAAATTTCCTGTGGAGCAGCAAGAGGCGGGCCTGCGAGCACACTGAGGCTAAATATACCTCCTCGGTCCACCCTCGGCCACACAAACGGGCAGCAGCAGCAGGGTATTTTAAATCCAGGGCTGAACAGCCTTTCTCCGATTAATTAGGCAATATTATTTATTTTGGTAATTGAAGTCAAATTCCACCTGCCCCCAAGCTCTTCACACCGAGGCTGCGTTTCCTCTTCCAATTCAAGATCCAACCAGATGCCCAGGTACAGGGACCTGTATCGGGCATGTTTTAATCCCAGGCACCTATTAACGTTGTACTCCTACTCGGTTAAACAGATGGCCCCCCCGCAGCCCACTCAGGCCACAGCCTTACCCGTCCTCTCAGAACCCAGACTCTTCCTCAGCCTTACCTGGGGTCTTAGGCATTTTCAGGGAAGGGGAGAGAAGTCAGGATTTTCTTTAGGGAATGTGTCCTTTCGGAACTTGACAAAGGAAAAGAATGTTGAATTCTTTCCAGGCCTGGAAGGTGGCCTGTGGCAGGAGAACCCTCCTCTCTGGAGTTAAATTCCTGTCCATGAGATGCATTGACCTTGTTACCAGACCCTAAATGGCTAAACTGATAAGTCCTTGGATTCTCAGAGAAAGTCCTGTTCCCCCTGAATTTTCGGAACCAGTAACATACATCCACACCGAATGCCGCTGGTCAGTTTCCCTGTAACCAAGATCAGCCAATCCTGGGCCATGCACCGGCCAGGAGGACACCACGCAGAGAGAAGTCCGAGAAAGCCATGTGAGGAAGCCTGGCATTTGCCCTTAGAACACTGAATATGCACCCCCACACCTGTCCTCCTTAGGGAGGCTGTGGAATTGCACCTGGCCTCACCCCCGCGACTGAACTCCTGTTAGAAGGTTGTTAGGGTAAGATCTACAGGTGGTTGTTTATTCCCTCCAGTTTTCCACTCACCTCTTCTCCAAGGTTCCCTTTGGGGGCACAAGTTTCCACTGTCAGTCCAGCGGTGGAGCCTTATCTGACACTTGTACGCTCCTGCCAGGAGGCCCAGGGCCCCCTTCAAGGCACCCAGTCTTGACTCTCTCCTTCGCATGTCGTTTTGTGGTTTCTGATACTGAACATTTCTGTAATGCTCTGTGCCTTGAGGATTTCTTTTGGGTGCTGTTATTGTTTGCCAAACACCATTACTCATCAAAATCTATTTAACAGGGGCAACCACAAAAGCAAAGGTGTAAGCAGTGGGCTTATAAAACCTACAAGACAGGAGAACAAGAAATACAAATGAATAATAATAGCCATAGCTCTCCCTTATTAGCGCTTACTAGGGCCGGGTGCTGCTCTGAGCAAGATATATACAGCAATTCAGAGAAGTCCCACAACATCCTATGAGGTTGCATCCTTCTGTTCGCAATCTTCCTTTTAATGGAAGCATACAATATTTATTGGTCACCTACTATGTTCCAGGCACTGGCCTGGGGCAATAGGGATGTAGCAGTGAATGAGATAGACAAGGTGTCTACCCTTTTGGAGCAGAGCAGACACATGATAATGAAGAAAATGTATGGTAATGAAGCAAACAAGGAAGGGCAGGGACCGGCTGGGATTCTGCAGCTTGAGCAAGAGTCACAGTGTGAGTCAGTGCATGTGGCGTGCAGACCCTTAGGAACTAGCCCACGTGGGGCTCTCTGGGCCCACACCCCTTCCACTGCCTGCCGCCCCTTCTCCTCCTCACCCACGCTCCATGCTTCACAGTCCAGGCCCTCGAGATGTCCACAGGGCTGTTTCTTACCCTTGTTCCTTTGTTCACATTGGGATTGTCCCTGTGCCTCTGATGCTTTCCTTAACCAATCTCCATGCTGATCGCCATCACTGCACTTGCACAGGGATCTGTTTAGGGGTCTGTTCTCACTGGCCTGGGTGCTCCAGGGCTCACACTGGGCCCGTCTTTGTTGCCCCTGTCAAGTAGTAGCACAGACCCTGACCCACAGATGCTACCAGTGAATGCTTGTTAGATGACTGAACATCTCTGCGTGAAAACGTGCCTTCTCCTGCCCTAGTGGAAAAGGTCGGGGATCGAGACTCTCCATTTGACCTAATAGTAGTGAATGGGACCAAGGGAGCCTGACGGGTGGCGCAGTAGAGGCTGTTACTGCTGAAATAGGACGGGAGGATGAGGGGCAGTGTGGTGCAGACCTCTCCAGCTCCCCAAGGGACACCCACCCAGACTCTCTGAACAGTTGCAATGACCAAGAACTGGAGGCTTCCTCAAGCATCTGTTCCTCTGTCATGTCTACTGAAAAGTTCTCCCTTTTGTTAAGCAAACTGTGCTGCAGATTGTTAAAGACCCGTCCTTTAGAACAACAGAATAGTGTGACTCTCCTCTCCACCTTCACCCTTCCAGTATCTGAAAAGCGTTACCGTGACCCATGTTGGGTTCACTTTTCCTTACCAAATAATTCCGGTTCCTTCCGCTATTTCTCACTATCATGTCACACACCTGGATTCCCTCCAGTTCTTGATGTCTCTTTTAAAACATGACATCCAGAGCTGGACAGTATTCGAGATGACTTCTGATCAGGTGGACTATAACAGTGCAATTTCTTTCCTGAACCTGCAGCTTAAATTGGATTTCACTTGTTTTATGGCCTCGTCACTGTGTCAGTTCTTACTGCACATGTAGGCAATGAAACTCCTCAGTGTTCTGCATACAGTGAACTCTTGTCAGCCACATGTAATAATTATAATAATAGCAGATACTAGTTATTGAGCCCGCCTGTGCCCATGAGCCAACCTAATCATTGTACCATCAGTATCTTTTTTTTTTAATATATTTTATTGATTTTTTACAGAGAGGAAGGGAAAGGGATAGAGAGTTAGAAACATCGATGAGAGAGAAACATCAATCAGCTGCCTCCTGCACACCCCCGAATGGGGATGTGCCTGCAACCAAGGTACATGCCCTTGACTGGAATCGAACCTGGGACCCTTCAGTCCGCAGGCTGACGCTCTATCCACTGAACCAAACCAGCCAGGGCGTACCATCAGTATCTTAAATTCTCCCATCTACACTGAGTGAGGTTGACTAAGTTGCCCAAAGTGCTGGGATTTGAACTCACAGACTGCCTGACTCCAGGCCCACATTCTCTTTACCCCACTGCCCTCCTTCCCAACTTGAACTTGAGCAGCTTATTTTTCCACCTAAATACTAGGCTTATCACTATTAAGTGTGATCTAAGTTCTTACTGAACTCCCCAGCATCTCAGGGATGCCATCGCAGAGCTTTTAGCTCATCTTTTCGGGTTTCTATCATCACATCTGCTGCCTTCATCAAGGAGAGTGCCTTCTCTCTCCCCACCAGAGTGCTCTCCAGGTTGACACCCGCTGGGCACCATTAGGCCCAGACTTTCCATCAGCTTCTTACCTAGCAACTTGCTTTTGAATTCCTGCACCATTTTTCTACTCTGTCCAAAGTTATCATGAGAGAGTTTGTGGGAGGGGGAATGTCATATTGGTTTGAAATATGTCATTTACGTAGCATTCCTCCACTCTAGCAGATTAACAGCAGTAAGGAATAATGCAAAAGGTGGCCCCCTTATTTTACATATTTTCATAAATTCTGTGCTTAATCTTTGGCCCTAAAACTTCCAGAAATCAATATCATGTCCACCATTACCCTCTGTGTGAAAGTGAGCTATTGCCCTGGCTCTAGGCCTCATTATTTATTCTAGTCTCCCATTATTCATTCATCCATTCTCAACATCAACAATGTGCCCACGACCACAGATACAAAAGGGGTTTTTTTGTGTCTTAAATCATTTTCCTTTTCCCCAAACATTAAAATAATGCATACTTCTTATGAAAATATGGGAAGTACAAATATAGGTAGAGAAAGCACAAAACACCATTGTCTAGTAATCTTAAAGATCACCTCTGACATCTACTAATTCTTTGTATAATCTAGAAGGGCTAGGTGCTAAAGTCACTTATCACCAAGACGGAGGGTTTGTTTCCCACACCTACAGCAAAAGCTACAATCTAACATCAGCTAGAAAATTAGTGAGAGAAGTACTGGTTCAGGAGAGGAGGAAGGCTGGGCCCCTGGGCAAAGGTGGGATGGATTGTGGAGGGGAGGGTGATGCGATTCCCTGCTGTGTGAACCCCCAGGACAGCCAGGTCTGTTTTGTTTAGTCCTTTTGTTGTTGTTGTCGTTCATGTAGAATTTTGCAGGTAATTTATTAAAAGAATGTTCAATTTACACGAACGTGTTTTGTCATTGGAAGGTATTGTGGAAATTGGAGGTGCCGTGTTCTGTTCAGTTCTGTAGTGTGGTGATATTTAAGGCAACACATGGTATTTCCCCACC